CGCGCCGGATAAACCACCCGGCAGTGCGGCATTCCCCAGCACCGCGCTGGGTGACTGGTCCATAGTGTGGTATTGCACAGCACTGCCCTGGGTGCCTCAGTGCGGCTTGTGTTTGAGTTTTCAGAGTTTAAACCCACAACCTTTAATGTCACAGACAAGACTGCTCCCCAGTGAACCAGGCATGTGTTACATTCTGCACTTGCCATCTCAGCTTTTTTTTCTACTTAAGATGTGAGTCATCGACATAGACACTAGGAACAAGAGTAGGCCATTCGTGCCTTAGAGCTTGCTCCACCATTCAATATAATCATGGCTGATCATCCATCTCAAGGCCATCTTCCTGCTTTCTTTCAATACCCAACGATGCCTTTAATATTTAAAAATGATCAATCTTTGTCTAATCCTATTAATGCTTTCTAAATGTATTAAGGTCAGCAGTTATTCGCCATCCCTAATTGCCTTTGAACTTACTGACTTGCTTGGCCATTTCAGAAGGCAGTTAAGTTGACCACATTGCTGTGGGTTTGGATCACATGTAAGCCAGACCAGGTAAGGTTTGTAAATTTCCTTCCCTAAAGGATATTCGCAAACCAGATGAATCTTTTTAATGACAATTGACAATGTTTACATTTTTATTAGACTAGCTTCTAATTCCAGATGTTTTAATTGAATTAAAATTTCACCATCTGCTATAGTGGGATTTGAAACCATGTACCCAAAACATTAACCTGATTCTAGATTGCTAGTTTAGTGACAATGTTGCCTGTGATTGGGGGTAGGAACTCCTTATGGTCTAATGTTAGCGTGACAATTTTAATAGTAACCAGCTTCTGGGGATCAAACCCAGGATTCTCCAGGTTTCCCCACAATGTATGAATGCACCACAGGTCACCCTCCCACTTTCATTCGACAAAGGACCCAATAACTGTGCAGAATATGATAAAGATGAAACACCCTCTTTTATTAAATTGGTATTCCATCGGACCTGAACAGTTGTCATCCAGTTACTGAACTACTAAAAATAAGTATTTTATGATAATCAAGACTAGCAAATTGTCGTTGATGCATGGACTCTGTCTAACGAGTAATGGGTATATGTCCCAGTTAATACACTTGCAAGCAGCATCTGCTGTGTGCGCACTCCTATTAATTGTAAAATGTAGCAATTCAATCAGGAAACCTTTCCCCAGCCTGTCTGCAGTGGGAGGATTGCTAGCCTGAAATCTTCCGCCAGGCAGGAAGATTTACTGTGGTAGGATAAATTTACTGGTGAGTGCATTTTCACCTTCATTATCCAAAGTCTGCAGTCTATGTGCTATGGAGGAATCATTCACAGCGTACAGATTGTCAGAGAGAGGAAGCAGGACAAATATAAACCCAGAATTATGTAAAATGGATCCCATTGTTGAGATCATCTGGGAAGTGGAATTAAACTAAATTAAATTAAATTAGATTAAAAGATTATATTAAATGGGACTAGAGTAGATAAGTACTTGATGGCTGATGCAGACACAATGGGCTGAAGGGCCTCTTTCCATGTTGTAATACTCTGTTACACTATGACTCAGCTGTATGTGATGTAATTAATTAAAGCACTGTTTTAACATTTGGTAGACTAGCAAAATAGAGCAGTTGCAACAGGAGCGGTGTTCTCCACTAACAGGATGCTGCTGTCAAGCTAAAAATGACATTTTGTCTAACACTCAAGTTTGTAATGTGATATGTGAATTTCAGTGTCCATTTGCTGCCTGATATGTGGGCATTACATCCTAAGGAGTAGCAGATCATATCAAACAGCACATGACTTTGGCTGTTCATAACAGGCAGAGTACTTGACCATACACAAGCCTATGCTTGAAAAACGCACATTGTCCAACATTGAAGTGATTCTGTAATTGGGCAGAACTTGCTGAATAACGCAGAGTGTGCCAAAAAGACGCTAACAACCAATTTAAAATTGTTAATCAGTCTTGCGGTATGGTCTGCTAAAAGCTACATAACTACGAAGAGAGAGCTAAATCCTCTGCAGGCAAAAGGAATTTGTATAGGCATTGCACTTTTACCATTAAACTAAAAC